CCCAGACTGAAAAGCATATTTCACTTTCCAGCTCTTTATTTGCATTTCAAGTTATGAGATTGCTGCAAAATGAAGGGGAAAGGGGCAGAGAGAATTCATTTTCTTCTCTCTTGGCTGAGATACCTGGTAATGAATGGCAGCCAATTTACAGGAGTCATGGATTGTTTTCTTTACCAAATCCAATTACTTTTGAGATTTAAAGAACGAGGCAGAAATGCCGGGCAGGGTTTGTCTAGGGAACTGTGACTCCAAATCCAGTCCTGAGAGGACAGAAACGAAAGCCAAGTTCATTATCAACTGACTTTGCTTTAGTATATATCTTTTAATACTTAGACAAAATGAAGAGATTTTCAGAAGTGTTTAGCTAATTAAATTAGTGACACTGGAGAAACTCAGGATGTGTGGTGCAGTAAAATTGACTTTTCCTTTTGTGAGAGCCAATGACACCCTTAATCTTAATAAGGTCTTGGCTCCATTATTTATTAGTCGTTTTGAAGATTTTTTTTTTGCCCCTCAAATTCCATAGACAGTTCTAGCTCAATAATCCAAACATTAGTAGTCTAATCAATTGGTGGCACTGTCCAGTTGTCAGTGCATTAATCAGCGAGGTAAGGGTACAGAGAGAAGCACGCTAGAATTGGCCACCAGCAGAGCCAGTGGGGAAGCACCTGCCTCCGTGTTCGGGGGCTGTGGACTCTGCCCTAGCACCACACACAGAAGTAGCGCACTCTATCGTAAACGCTAATAACTATCTTTGTAATAGGCAGAGTCCTGGCAGCCTCAAAGATGGTGAAGCTGCTAATTCCACGGCCCAGCGAATATGCCACCTCACATGGGAAAAAGGCAGTTATGGATGTAATTTGGCTAATGATTCTAAAGTAGGGAATTATTCAGGGAGGCCAAATATCATTTCAAGATTCCTGATAAGACAAAGGAGGATGCTGGAGGAAGTTAGAGGAGCCAAGACAAGCAGAAGTCAGTGATGTGGGAAGCCCTCTGTGTGCGGTGAATATGTGTTGCTTTATTGGTTGACGAATAAAGCGGCTTTGGCCTATGGCAGGGCAGAATACAGCTAAGAGGGGAAGCTACACTGAGTACAGGGAGAAAGCAGGCAGAGTTGTGGGAGACACCAGCAGCGGCTCGATGAGTGAGATGTCAGAGCAGTACTGGTAAAGCCACTGGGCACGTGGTGATACACAGATTATTAGAAATGGGTTAATTTATATGTAGAGCTAGCCAGTAAGAAGCCTGAGCCACCAGCCAAATGACTATAATTAATATTAAGTCTTGGAATGATTATTTCATGTTTTATTCATATTTTCCTGCGGGGACTGGTGGGCAGGAGCAAAACCAGTCCCCTGGGACTGGATGGGACAAAGAAAAGACTTCCAGCTTCAGGTCAGAGTAAAAGGAGCCCTTAACAAGGAAGCTTCCAGAAGCAGGCAAAGGAAGAAATGAAACTGTCCTCGGAGACAACCTAAAATGTCCTTGGAGACCACGTAAAGAGCAGAGCCCTGCCCAGGGCCTGATTTCAGTCAGCAAACCTGACCTCAAGGCTCCGCCCTCCAGAGCAGTGAGACAAATGTGTGCTGTCCTCAGACACTAAGTGTGTGGCGGGGTTACTGCAGAAGCAGGCACCAGCTCCATTTTATCCTAAAAGACAATGATCAGTATTCTCAGCCAAGCTGTTTGAGAGGAGGCGTTAGTAAGATAGCCAACACTCCTGGACCATAAATCATTTACAGGCTCTTTCTCAGGGACTCAAAACAAACAAACAAACAAACAAACAAACAGACCAAAAACCTAGGGATGAGTTCTATACAACCCCCACAGGGGTCCTAAATAGGGTAGTTTCCATTCATGTTTGAAATTCTCTGCCTTTTGAATAAAAAATAGTTTATTTCTCAGTAAAAATAAATTAGCTAACGCCTAGCTATTTGTTTTTAAAGGTGGATTTTTCACAGGTGTATCATCATATGTTAGATCGCTGGAACATGCTCACTTTGCTAACATGAATACACTTTTGGGCGTGTATTTCCATGCTCACTACAGGCCCCAGAAACTGTCATTCTACCCTCAGATACTGTAAGTTTGACTATATTAGATTCTAAACAGAAGCAGAATCATAAGCAATAATACAGCATTTTTCTTTCAGTTTTGGCTTATTTCATTTAGCACACACACAGTACATATATATTTATATACACATATATAAATATATATTAGACCTTATGTAAATGCACCATATATCTGATATATGATATGCATGTATACATGTCATATACATGACATGTGTGAATGAAATGTAGCATTAATATACCAAAAATCAAACTGTAGTTAATATTATATTGATTGTATCATACACTTAAAATTTGATAAGAAGGCAGATCATATGTGTGTGTATGTGTGTACGTCCCTGCACACATACATGCACATGCATGTCAGAGTGTGCCTTTGGAGGTCAAAAGACAACTTTCAAGAGACAATTCTCTACTTCTACCATGTGGATGCCAGGGATTGATCTTAGAGAAGCAGGTCTTGCCGGCAAGCACCTTTATCCTATTGAATAATTTTACTGGCCCCTTTACTGTATTTTAATTTGTTAACTATAATTCATAATGCCATCAAAATGACATTTTTGCATTAGCACCTTAAAATCTCAGTGTCACCTTAGGAGTTAAGTTCCTACTTAAGTATGTACATGGAACTAAATAGAACATACTTTGGGATAGGAATAGGAGCAAAATATGCTTTGGGATGTGCCCACTTCTATCACAACAGTGTCATAGATGTGTGTATTTTAGAAAGCCCAGCACTCAAGAGGCAGAGGCAGGAGGATCTCTGTGACATCGAGGCCAGTATGGTCTACACAGTGAGTTCCAGGACAGACAGGGCTACACAGGGAAACCTGGTCTTGAAAACAAATAAATAGTTAAAAAGAAAAGCTTGTCTGACTGCATTCTGGGTAGCCATGGGTTCAGGTCAGATTATGTGCAGATTGTGACACTTTTTCTTTCTGCTCCTCTCCCTCTCCACCCCCATCCTTGTCCTTTTTTTTTTTTTTGAGACAGAGTCTTAGTATGTTGTCAAAGCTAGTCTTTGAAGTCCGGGGTCAGAAGATCCTCTGCCTCATCCTTTCAAGTAGCTGGGACGACAGGTGTCTTACCATGCCCAGCTTAGTAGGCCTGATTTACATAAGTTATTGAGAAATGTGTGTGTATGCGCGTGCGCTCCTGTATATGAATAGTGAGGCCTAAAGACACATTTTAAATTCCAGGGAGAAAAATGGGCTTATGTGTTAACAGTGCTACAGTAATTTACTAACTGCTACAAAGATGAAAGCTATTGTCTCCCAACTTCCACATTTTTTAAAATTAAAAAAAATGTTAGAATTAGAAATAGAGACCATTGTTAGAATGTTGGAAAAGGGAGGGTTTTCTTCCCTCTGACAGAAAAATTAAACACTTTTCTAGATAAAAGGCACATAAATAAAGTTACAAAATGATTCCATTATATGTGCTAGACAAATGAGTAAGATAAGGGAAGTAACTACAAATCATTTTTATGAAGTGGCAATGGATGTGAATGGGCGATCCACAGAGGAAGAATAGCCACTGCTGAAGCTAGAAGTAATTGGGGAAATGCAAATTAAAACGAGATATCAACTTTTCATCCATCATACGGGCACAATGATAAACCCTGGATAGTATTAATCATTGGCTAGGATACAGAAAAAGACTTCCTGAAACACAGCCAAGTGTAAATGTGGTTTCCAGGGGTTCAGTATCATAATTTCTGTCCTGACTGTGGGCAGTCAATGGCCGGCACACAAGGGGACATTCACAAAGAGTGCCTTTGGTAATGGTGTTTGTAGTAATAGATCATAAACAATAGGCCTACCTCTACGAATGGAGTAGGCAAATCTACACTACCCAATATTTTGCTACTCTCCACAGTCACTCAGAAGGTCTTCCCAGTACACTTGGTTGAGGGAAATATAATCAGCTCTTAGGAGGCTCATTGGGAGAGTGCTTGCCTAGCAGGTGGGAGGCCCTGGGTTTGACTATTTGCAAGAAAGAGAGGGAAGGAGAAAAGGAAGGAGGGAGGGAGGGAAGAGGTAAAGAGAGAGCAGTCAAAGTCTAATTCTTAGAACAGAATTTATTTTTTTGATAATGGAAATGAACAGTTATTTCAATGATTCACTCTAGAAGGTTGTGATATTTCTATAGAGAACATATTGGCTGTGGAATGTCATTGAGTTTCCTACTTTCCTTCCTTTCTACCTGTATAATTTGATCTTTGATAAAGAGTACTTAGCTATTTAGAAAAGTCATGGGAAGCATACTAGACTCAGGAATACTTTAAGTGTGTCTTGTGGCTGAGTTCCTTTAGAAGACATAGGCATCCCTTTTAAATCTTAAGAAATTGGATAAGGATAGGCAGAATTAAATACTACATGCCTCTAATTTTAAGGCATTCATTTTAAGATTAACCATTAAAAACAGTTTTCTGGTGTATGGGAATGGGGTGTGGACACAGGATCTCATTGACTGTGTGAATGGTTGCAAAATGCTTTCCAATCTCACAAACACTTAGATTAGATCAGTCTAACCTGGCGGTCAAAGGACCCTTTTATAGGTCTCCCAAGACCATCAGAAAACACAGATATCACATTGTGATTCATAACAGTAGCAACATCACAGTTATGAAGTAGCAATGAAAATAATTTTATGGCTGGGCGGGGGGTCACCACAACATGAGAACTGTATTAAAGGGACTTAGGTAAAACAACCATTTTCAGAATACGGAAACATGAGGTCACAAGCTTGTTCACTGACCCATCTCAGTGAACACACACACACATCCTTACAAACTACCGAAGGCCAGAATCACAGGCCTCTGACAAACGTCTCAGGGAAAGAGATGCCGAAGGGCCAACATCCCATCCGTGACAAATGTCCATACAGCACAGGTCTCTCTCTTGTGCTACAAGTGCTCACCTTATTTGGGAATGGAAACTTGCTAGGTTCCACCTTGCCAGGAGCTTGAATAGCAGAGAGTGGAGGAAGCCAGGTCATCTCCTAGAGGTGGGGGAGAAACAAAGAGCATTTTCAGAGGACTCAACAGCAGACGCATGAAGAGGACTATGTGGGCATGCTTCATAGGGCACGGAAGTGACAGGAATAAATGAAGGCCAAGAGGGAATGTTTACAACAGAGACTTGAAACTCATCCTAGAACGGCCAGTTCTTGACTCCAAGGTTCTCTCTAAATACCTTAAAAGGAGAAGACCCTCTCATTTTTATGCTGTTCAAAAAGAGGTTCGGATTATTACACAGAATTCACAGGATGTTTCTGAAGGCATACTTAAGACAGTAGAATCTTAGTGAGTTTTACTGGATGAATTGTCTAAACTATTAGAGATAAAGAAGAAATTCCCAACAAGTTCCATAAGTCATTGCACTTCATAGGAAAGGGGGGGGGGTGAGAGAAACAAGCCACATACACGGAGTACAGAGAGAAATGATGTCAACTTTAGAAGACAGTATTAATACAACTTGAGCTCAGGGTGCAGTCATCCGTCACAGGCTCTCTGACACTGCTCCTTGAGCTACGGGAGAGGGAGGGGGTCGTATTGCTCACACTATGCATTTTCCTTCAGCTGCCATCAATAACGTATTAAGGGATTGAATTGACTTCTGATGACCGAGGGAATCAGTATAGTTTGAAAACAGGTTCTGAACCCTACATTTTAATTGGCCTTCACTTTCAAAACTAAACAGGAATGAGCCAAAGTTGATGTTTTAAAAGGAAAAGACTTTTTGCTTTGTGGAAGAGAGGTTGTGTTCTCACCAACCTTTGGTAGGTAAGGTGTTGAGAAAGGATCCATCAGGGTTTGGGAAATCGAAGAATGGTCTGTGGCTTCTTTCCCCAGGAACCCTCTTCTGCAGAACCTCAGATGGGGCAGATTTCACACAAGTTCCAAGGGAGGGTGAGTATTCTAAACCATCCAGGAAGGGTTTAATGGACTTCCACCATCTCCCGCCTTGACACATGTCACATGCCAGAGGGTTTAGCGATAAGCTTTCCACTGGTCCCTTCTCCAGTCTGCACACACCAAGTGACCCCACGTCCTTATCTCCTCATACCTCTCCTTTGAGGAAGTAGGACTGCTGGATTTGTACTGAGGGGGCATCCTTGCTCCCCAAGTAAGAAAGCTATCAAGACACACATGGGTTTTCTTTACTCCCACTAACATGTTCTTTCTATCACTTGGCTCTTCCATAGTATAATCTCTCCTTTTTTCTTCACAAGTTTTCTCATTTACTTTTTCATTTAAATTACTGGCTAGGATAAAGTGGTGTCAAATCTTCTACAGAGCAAGCTAGTCATCAATTATAAATACTTGACCCGTTTTTTTCCCCCCCTACGTTATGAATTGTCTGAAGTGTCCTAAGGCCACTCCAATTACTCGGTAGCTTTCTTTGCAATCAGTTTTTTATTCACAGTGTAATCTTGAGGGGTCAAAATAGATAAATAAAATATAAACTAATCACTCATGATAAACACCAGACTTGTATGTACACCCCCAACACGTTCAACTTCCCTCCAGTTATTGTATGCTCTTTTTACATCAGCATGTTATATATGTTATGCAAATTTTGTGTTTGTTATAAAAAGCCCAAAGATGAAGTATTTGTGTCCTTCTAGCTCTTCAGAAGTAAGTGACATAAGAGGTTAATGAACTATAAATGACTGAACTTTCTTAAGAACGTGTCCTACAAGTAACTTCTCGCAAGAGGCACTTTCAGAAAGGAATTTACTATACAGTTCACACTAAACAAAGCTAGCAAACAAGCTTTAAGAAAGCACTGAGCAGTGATCCTAAGTAGAGCTGGTGTCCTCCTGTATCTGTATCCAGATCCCTGACTCAGTCCCTGTAGAACACTGACCTGTGGGCAGGCACAGGGCTTGGTCCACTGAGTTACAGCATTAGTGTATCAGCCCTCCACCGCGGATACTCACTGTCCACTACAGTCACCCTCCACCGCGGATACTCACCGCCCACTACAGTTAGTTACCCTCCACCGCGGATACTCACCGCCCACTACAGTTACCCTCCACCGCGGATACTCACCGCCCACTACAGTTAGTTACCCTCCACTGCGGATACTCACCACCCACTACAGTTACCCTCCACTGCAGATACTCCTCTTATTCCAGTAACACACGAGTTCCTTTCTCAGGTCCTTCCAAAGCATTCTCCTTTTCTTCCTTCAATTCTCAGAATTTGTTGTTTCATGCTGTATTTTTTATATGTACAAACCTCAATCGATGCTTAGATAGATACTCCTCAGATACTCCTCTTTCATGCGGAATAAAAATCATACTCAGGAGACACTCATACCTTCTTTCACGAGCATCCTATCTCAACAGAATCAACAAATGGGAATCCTAATAACTGCTCACAAGGGTGCTTAGAAACACTTTACAAACACAAGCCCTTAAAGGACTGTAAGTTTTTCCGAGGCAAAGGAGCTACTTATGCTAGTGTGGGCTAAAGCATTTTACATAGTAGGTGCCCCACAGAAGCTGAGTGGAGCTGAACATCCACATGTCAATGCTAACTTACTTGCTAATATTGATTTAAGTACTGCCAACCATGTCAATAGGATTTATCTATCTAACAAATCCTATCAAGCAAATCAATGAGTAGCATGGGTAAGAGATGCATGAGACACCCAAGTATATAATAATTTCCCAAAATATTAATTTTTATGACTAGTCAAGTAAGTTTCTAATGTAATACAAGTATAAAATGTTTTATATGTATAATGTGCAATGGCTTTATGAGATACACTGTGTTCCATTGAAATTACTTACAAGGGGCAAACAGACATCTCTATTTCTCATCACTTACTAGCTGAGCAATTCACAGCTCAGTACGCCATGTTTTAAAGTTTACTATCAACTGGATCTCTGCTTTGATATCTTAGGAGCAAAGGGAAAGGGAACATCATTTCCTGAGTCAGTCCCAAAGATTAAATGAGATAATGGGCAAGATAACATGGCATAGAGCCCTGTATCTAAGCATTCATCAAGGGTATCACTGGTTACTATCACACTGTTTCTGAATTCTTGCCTTCACAATGAGAAATACAATTTATTTCTAAGCTTCAGTTGCTTAAGACATAAGAACAGATGTAAGTAGCTGTTTAAAAAATATCGAAATAAGGTATCATTCATATATAATCTAGAGTTTAGTTAGTAAGTATTTACACAGATTGTATGTTATTAGAACTGAAGTTATTTAAAAATTATGATTCCTAAGGGTGATTTGCACTTTATTTTTGGGGAAAGGTCCCTAGGTTTTCTGAAAAGAATGTATCTGTGACAAAATAAAAGAAACTGATGAAGTAATAAGACCTGATAGAAATGAAATTTGTAACTTATTTGTGGCACTGATTTAAAGTATGAGCAAAGATTCCCCCCATCACATGATATTATCACTGCTATTGGTTATTCTACATGACCCTATTGCCAAAGACACCATATATTTACATCAGGAAATCAAGCCGGTGCTCAAGTAGAAGCATCACCATCACTGACTAGTATTCATGGTGCTAGAAGTACCACACAAACTAACAAAGGAGAAAAGTCATCATCTACCTCACACAGCTCAACCTCTGTAGCCTGTAACAGCAACCTGTCAGCAAGGTATGACCACTGGTGCAATAGTGGCACAGACGTTATGAGATAACCTTTAAGGCCTGCTTCTCGAATTGCAACCCACAGTTGACACTGTTAATGAGGCCAAGGACCTGACACTAGACAGATGGACTTTCTATTAGGGGAACAGCTATTATTCTGCTAGATGAACAAAGGAATAAAATGATTCCTAATGACACATTGCTATAACCGGAGATCAGTGCACTGCTGAAGCATAATCAGAGATGCTTCTTACAGGAAATGGTAGTTAGCATGGAAATGCATAACTGGACAATGTGCCGAGAGTGTGGGAGCCCTCAGCTCTAAGTGAGGTGTCCTTATCAAACCCCTCCCCTTAAAGCTCAGAGATCTATGTGGAAGTGGAGGCAGAAATGTTGTAAGAACCAGAGGTGGTGTACAACGCCATGGGAAGAGTGTTTTCCAGGCACAACAGGGCTAATGCATATGTGAACTCAGGGACTGTGATAGTATACAAGACCTGTATACATTCAAACAAGACAACATCCCAACATGAAGAAGGGGAGATGGCACGAAATTCCACCCCTAACAAGAAGCTACTTGGAATTTGTATTGGGTGGGGGAGAAGCAGTTTTCTTCAATGAAGTGAATACTCCAGACCATGCCTCATGCTTAGGAGTAGCTGACCAACACAAAGTGGATTCCATGGATTGTTTTTGCATGTGCTCTTTTTTGTTTGTTTTTAAGAGAGAGAAAGAACATGAAGTTTGGTGTATGGGTGTGTGGGAAGAAGATCTGGGAGAAGTTTGGGGGAGAAAAAGAATATGACAATACATGTTCTATGAAAATATATTTCGAATCAAGAAATAAAATAACAAAGAATGAGCAAAGGTAAGAGTTCTCATTCTTGTTCAGTTTTTCCTCAGCTTGCCTCACATTATCTTCATTATAGAGAAGAATAAATGTTGTGTCAAGGACAGGGACTCTCAGCCCTGCATCCAATGTCTCCAGCTGCACACACTCCTGATACTGAATCAGTCCTTCATCAGTATTCTGCACTATTTACAGCAAAGTCCCCCTTGCCCATAGGTGATTTATTCCAGGACCCCACAGGGGAAGCCTAGACCTGGATCACAAAGGACCCTATATACTATGTCTTCTCTTGCGCATACAAACCTGCCATCAAACCCTTTTATGACAGAGCCATTGCAACTGTAAATTCATAGGAGCTATAGGTGCCCACATGGAATTCTCTCTCTCCCTGCCCAAACTGATGGCTACTGATGGCTATTGGGATGAAAGAGTCACTATCTTCAGATATATATCCCCCTGGTGACCCTACCAGGCTCTCCTGGTTAAACAGATTTGTCACAAAGCAAAAATACATTAACGTG